TAAGGTGCTCTGCTGAGAGCCTTCCAATGGCTTCCCATCACATCCAAAATAAACCCCAAACCCCTTATCCTGGCCTACACAATCTGGCCCCTTTCTACCTTTTGGCTTTATCCATACATATTCTCTCCCTGTCCAAACTTACTTTATTTTTCTTTCTCAAACCCGCCAAGCTCATTCTCACCTCAGAGATTCAGTGCTTGATTTTCTCTCTGCCTGGAATGCTTCTTCCCTCAGGTTTTCATCACTAACTTCTCATCATTCAGGCCTCTCGACTCAGATGTCCCCTCTTCAGAGAGGCCTTCCACTGTTCGTCTCTCCCCAAGAGGCTGTGATCTGTACAAGCTATTCTGTCCTATTCACAGCTGTCACCCTGGTGCCTTGAGGAGTGGATACCCAATAAATATCATTGAATGAATAAGCAATTGGTTGCAGAGAAATGAATAGGAGACAAGTGTTCAAAATCTCCCTGAGATAGTGGAAAACCTTGAAAAAAGTAGAAACATTGACAGAAATAAGAAGTGTGAAGGGTGCATCAAGTTGTGCAAAAATATGTGAAATTTTGTTTCAGACGTATTGAACTTCAAAAAATGGCAGAAAATGTATGATGGAGACAGAAGAGTGTAGTGATTTTTTTTTTTTTTTTTGAGCGTAGTGATTTGGAGCACAGTTTCTAGAACTGACTTCATATACCAGCACAATCACCTACAAGCTGTGAGATCTTTGGCAAGTTATTTAACTTCTCTGTGCCTCAATTTTCTCACCTGTAAACGAGGATAATGGTATTACAATGGTATTATAGTCCTCTCATAGTGTTGTTGAGAGGACTAAATGAGTTAAAACCTGTAAATCATATAAAACGGTGTCTGGCTAATAGCATGATTTTTAGTGGAATTTCAGGAATTCTGCATATAGAAGGGATAGTCAAAGCCAGGGCTGGGACTAGGGAGAGACTAGTGTAGCACCTACAGGACAAGATTTAAGGAGGCACTCACTTTGAGGGTTGTGCTCTTGCCCAACCCCGAGCATGCTTCCTTAAATTTTGCATTCTTGGCCCTTTACTCACCTCAACCTAATTCTGGCCTGGTCAGAAAAATCAAAGGGGAAAACGCTTTATTGGTAAGATTTTCTAAATCTGGGTACCTGTCACACCTTCTCCCTCTGGTCTTGGTGGGAGTGGTTTTTTGCTGTTGCTAATCTCTGGGTTGTGTCACTGTCCTTTTGTTGCTTCTGGGTCTTTTCCATTACTTACATAACCAATTCCCTGCAGTCAGTCCCTCTGCTCAAATACTCTAATGGATTCTGTTTTTCTGGTTGGACTCTGATGTAACAGTTAATATACTCTAGAGCTCCATAAACATGGGACTTCAGGGATGTGGGGAAAGAAGCCAACATTTATGGAGTGACCTCAATGTGTTAGGTACTTTTACATGTAAGATATTTAATCCTCATCAGCTGGTGGAGTGGTGCCCACTACATACTTTGTAGATGAGAAATCAAAGATGCAGGGAGGTATGACTCATCTAGGGCCACTAAGTTACAGAGCTGAGATCAAACCTAGTTTAAAGGATTATACCCTTTCCACAATGCAAAGCATCTGGGGGAGACGTGTCCAGATTGTGGGTACACTCCTATCGAAATACAAGAATTTATTTTTTTCCCAGTGAGAGATGTTTTGTTTTTATTTTCAGAGATACTGGCCATTAGTAGTCTCCTCTTCCTCCTTCTTTATTTATTTATTTTGGTGAAATTCACATAACATAAAATTAATCATTTAACGTGAACAATCAGTGGCATTTAGTACATTTGCAGTGTTGTGCAACCACCATTCCTATGTAGTTCCAAAACATTTCCATCATTCCAAAATAAAACCCCTTATCCGTTTATTTCTCCCCATTCCCCACCCTCCCAGCCCCTGGCAACCATCAATTTGCGTTCTGTTTGTATGGATTTACCTATTCTGGATAGTTCATATAAATGGAATTATATAGTATATCTCCTTTTATGTCTGGCTTCTTTAACTTAGCGTAATGTTTTGAGGATCACCCACTTTGTAGTATGTATAAGTACTTCGTTCCTTTTATTGCTGAATAATATTCTATCATATGTATATACCACACTTTATTTTTCCATTTACCCATTGGTAGAGATTGAGTTTCCATCTTTGGCTATTGTGCATAGTGTTGCTATGAACATACATGTACAAGTATTTATTTGACCACTGTTCTCAGTTCTTTCAGGCATATATGATCTCACTACCTTCTAGCTTATTTTTCTAATTCTAATTCCTATCAATTTAAGATTACAAAGTGACAAAATATGTAACTAATTTCTGTAAAAAATTTTTCTCTTCTTGAAGGCTGAATCATATTTATAATCTTCTAGTTTTAATTTATTCTCCAAGTTTTGTTCATATTCCTGCCCACTGGGTATGTGTGTGTACGTGTATGTATGTGTGAGTGTGTATGTGTGTGTATGTGTGTGTGGGAGAGAGAGAGAGAGAGAGAGAGAGGGAGAGAAAGTGTTTTTGTTTTTTTGAACATGTAACGTAGCCATTCTGGGACTTGAAGTTTGTATACAACCACCGGTTCATGTTTCATATCAATACTAGCAGATTTATATAAAGTACCATTTCTAGGTTAAAGAGGCCATGCTTCTTTCAAGGTAAATACTAATAGTGAAGGGTTGTTTGGAAATTTGGGCAAACAAATAAATGCAGCCATTTTAAGTTCTATGCAAATAAAATTTTATTTCTCTTATTAGGACAAATAAAGAACAGATGATGGAGGAATCATTGTATTTTTGTAATTTATGTGAAAAGAAAATATAATCTAAAATAAATTGAGTGCACAAATAAAGTGAATAACCAAGGTGCACATTATTTATATATGAAATGAAACCTCTTGAAAAGGGAGAAATGGTGACAGCAACTTAGTATGTAATATACTACACTTCTGTTCTTACCCTTACATTTTCAAACTCATACATAGTAATTTATTTGCACTCCCATTAATATTAGTGGGAGTTTTGAAATTATATTCATGCACACATCTTTGAAAATGTATGGGTCAAAGTAAATTATTAATGAAAAGCTCGTTTTCATTTTTAGTGAAATAGTTTCAACCTGTTACCAAAGATGTCTTAGAAGCCACCTTCATTCTAGTCACAGGAGAAGAATTATGTATAAGGTTACTATTTGGAGGTCATCATCTTTAAAGCAACTTGGATAATAATCATATTAAAGATTTAAAAAAGTGTTTTCCCAACACCAAAGAACACAAAAGTTCAGGCCCCATATTGTTTTATACTAAGCAAAGGACCTTGGACCCTTTCAGTGGACCCTTTCAGCCCAGTGCACCTGATCAGTGATAGAGGCATGCTAAGGTGAATTTTAATTAGGACTAAATTGTGGTATTACTCTTTCATACCCTGAACATCTGTTCCCTTCAGAAATGATGATTTATGCAGGCTATCAGAGCAGACAGCTTGCTACAGCTTATGTCACGGTTAGTGGGAAGCTGGTGGTAGCATTTCAGGAAACCAGCATCTAAATGGAGACTGTCCAGTGTATATGATATAGGTAATAAGGGGAGGGGAAGGATGATGTGTCCATTTTTAATTTTGAAGCCAAATATTGACCTGACTTAAAAAAAAAATTCTCTTCTAGACCATCTGTTGTTAATGAAGAAAGTAACTTGGACAATGAATGGGCTGATGCTTCCTACTGATGTCAAAATATGGAAAACCAAGCCTGTTCTTTCTATTAGAATGAAGAAACTTACTGAGAAGACCTCAGTCCGAATTCTTTTCTTTAAGAATGGCACGGGGCAGGATGGGCATGAGATTACAGTGGGAAAGGAAACAATGAAAAAGGTAATTTTGTATTAAATATTGAAGTATAAATTAAATTTCAAAGTTTTTGTGACTCTTGAAATGTGTTTTTTCCTTTTATATATTGTGTCAACTAATAAACTGAAATATCAAGAGGGCATTATATAGAATGTAAAAATTCAGCTGTTTAGATATATGCTTATTGCACTAACAACATAACTTACTTTAAAAAATAAAGGAACAGTATTTCAGGAAATAATTTGGCTAACATAGTTGGCCATTTCCCTAGTTAAAAGTTATGTTTACACTTGAGGAAACATTCTAGTTGGTTATAACATTTTACAAGATATTTAGATTGAAGCCAATTTAACTATCTTCAAATCTCAAAATGGCTCCTTTTCATTTACAATACTAGTAGTAAAACCTAGAAGCACCCCTGTTTTTTTGAAACAATAAATTAAATCTGAAATAACTAGAATTCAGTTTAAAAATATCCATATGCATTTTAAAAAGTAAATCTGGATGGGCCTAAGAAAAATCATGTAACAATCCAGCAAACTTTAAAAAACAAATTTGGAAGTATTACTTGTCATATAAATGCATGTTTTTTAGAAGGTGCTTGTATTTTCCAGATCTTTGATATTTAAAAATATAGAGGAACTAATGGGAATTTGAGGGGGAAAAAAAAGCCTTTTTTTTCAGATAAAGATTTTTCACTGTATCTTAAAGTATCTTGTTAATAATAATAAAAGCAACTAAAATTTATTAAATATGTTTTAGAGAGACAGTGAAACATAACCAAACTCTCTAGGTTTTAATCCTAGCTTTGTCATTCACTAGCTATAAGACCTTGGATAACTTACATTGTCTGAGTCTCAATTTCTTTATCTGAAAACTGGTGATAATAATATGCCTACCTGATAGAACTGATGTAAGTATTCAATGTGATATTACATATGGAATGCAATGCCTGGCACCCAGAAAGTTCCCATTAAATTCTTATCTTGGTGTTCTTATCTTTAGGATTCATAAATATACATCTAATAGTTAGAAATTATTTTTCTTATTAATGGGAAACATTTATTATGAAATGAAGATAGGTATAAATTATTTTGTTATACCAGACTATTTTCAAAATGAATATTGTTTGAAACAGGTGAATAGTTGACTAGATATTGGAAATTTTTATTTTCGAAATATCTATTTCTTCATCTACTGATTTTTGTAGTTGTTTTATAACTACATCTGGGTAAGAGCATTTACTGAGGAGCTGGGAAACTGGGTTTTATTTCCTTCTTATCTGCAGATTTGAATTATGAGTAAAACAAGGGATATTACACACCAGAGCAAATTGCTAAGGCAAGTTGTAACATCTTCCCTGGGGATTTTGAAAAATAGAGAAGGTGGGCATAGCGCTTGGATTGTTAAAACGCAGTCATTCTTGGAAATGAAAGCTAGATTAGATAACCTCTTGAGTTCACTTCAATTCAATCTCTGTAATTCTATGCCTCAGTGATAAAATTGGGGTAATAGTCACTCTTACAGATTACATGTTCTTAGAAGAAATGTTGAGTGTAAATAAAAATGTCACTGCTATTTTGCTTTTTGACGCGAAAGAGCAATTCATTTAAAACTGGACGATCAAGGAATTCTTTCGCTTATTTTTTCTCCTTATAATTTGTAGAATTTAAAGAACTTTCACAATTTTTATGAAACTCCGGACAAGATTCAGTAATAAATGTATTTGTAAGTATTTGTAAATATTTTTCTCAATAGTGCTTTTAAGAATGAGGTAAAGGAGAGGAGGCAATGGAATACTGGTCTTGGATGTTGATAGAACTTTTTGGAGGGAAAAAAAATAAGGCTAGCTAATTATTTTGTAAATAAAATTTAAATTTTGAAAGCTTTGTTGATAATCACAGGATAATGCCCTAATTATTGATTAAATACCAAATCAGTAGTAGGACTAAAAAGGTGGCATTGTCATTGGAAAAACACCTTATTTTCTCTTTTATGATAGATTATTAGGACTGCTGGGGACTAATAGCTGTTTTTAGATTATTGCTAAGTAATGAAAAACTGAAGTACAAAGTAAAGGACTCTAATATTGTGACGGTTATTGCAGCAAAATAAGAAGGAAATTATAGAAGACAGATGATAAAATAAGGTAGTTGAAGAGTAAAAGTCCTCTCTGAGCTCAGAATGGAGCCAAGGGGAAATAACTGTATTTCAATAATAGGTACAAAATCAAAGCCATATCCGTTTATTTATTTTAGGAGGTTAAGTTATTAAGAAGTTTGAAATGAGTGTCTAAGTGATATAATTCTTCTCTAAACTCTAGAATACCAAAACTACAGCCCATCCCTTTGAAATTGGAATCAGATGGTTTTAGAATTACTTGGTATGGTTTTAGTAACAGCAGTAACACAGCACCTGCTACTATGGGGTATAGGCTAAACATTATCCATGTGTTGAAAAAGATATTAGGAAAAATTTGTGGGCACAAGATGCAAAGTAAATGGGAGATGAAAACTGCTCCAGATACATAACTTTTTAAGGTTGGTATTAGTGGTAGATAAGTTTATTTTCCCTCAGTTATCTCTTAGAATCATTGTCAGAGAAGTGGTGTTAAGCTGTGTGGATTATTGTATTATCCAGGACAACATCTCCTTTATGAGACATCTTTATTTTTTTCTCAGCAGTTAATAATTGTATCTAATTTATTTGCTTTTTGCTTGGTTTTCTGTGTACTGTTACTAATGGCATGAGATTACAATGGTGAAGAAAACAATGAAAGAGATATTGAAATAAATGAAAGAATGGAAAAAACTCTCACTCCGGTTTGAACTGATTGTTCCCTGTGACTATCCTGGTATATCCCTTCAAGATCAACTTTAAGATTATCTTTCCCT